GTGGAACCAGGGATTGAACGCAGGCCGTTGTGCTTGCCAAACAAGCGCTTATTCTACTGAGCCATCTTCCAGGCCCCAAAGAACATAAATGGGAAGAGAAAAAATATCTGCCCATTATTTGGCAGAGGATTGCTAATGATTTTATTTTTAAAGGTTTATATATTCTAATAGATTAAAAACAATCTCAATATCCCAACAGAAAAGTGGAGCAGGGACAAGATCAGGTGGTGACAAATGGAGAAATAAACATAAACAATAAACATAGAGAAAGTTCAGTGTCCCTGGTCATACAGTCTGCATAGTGAACTCATCACAATCATTTGACAAACACGAAATCCCCGCACGCAGCAAGTACTGGAGGAAAAAGACTCTGTAGTGGGGAGACTGAAAAGGTGTAGGACTTTCCAGAACAGTAAATTGATGACACACACTGAAGGCCTTCAAATGCGCACGCCCTCTCTTTAGAGGTTACACACTTAGGAAGTTATTTTAAATAATTAATTACACATATGCTAAAAATAGATGGCTCAAATAACAACAAACATCCAACAGTGTTTACAAATTGTGTGTCGTATAAGTTACATGATATCTAACATATTATGTCATCTAAATTCTACCTGTAAATTACATGTCTGTAAGATACACACATATACATACATACACACATATAAAAGCCATATGTCTCGTAAGATTAAAAGGCACCAAAAATAGGGCCAGTGAGTTGGCTCAGCATTCTGAAGCGCCTCCTCAGGCAGGTCCATCGCGGGCACTGAATGCCATGCCAGCCCTGCCCCCAGGGCAGGCTGAGCCTCCCCCAAAGTCTGGGTGTTGTCACACACGACTGTAATCCCAGCACCGGGGAGGCTGAAAAACAGGAGGATCAGTATGAGTCCAAGCTGTGTAGTGAGACCCTGTAACAGCCAGATACATTAACCGGAAAAGAAAAAAAGTACCAAAAATGTAAGATTGGAATGAAAGAAACTAAAATATTCACAAATGAAATTGTTTCTACATAGAAAATCCAAATAGTAATTTATAGGCCAAACATTATAACTAATAATAGGGTTTAGCAAAAATAGAGAAAATAGTCAATTGCATTTGTATATGTCAACACTGGAGTTGAAAGTAGAATTTAAAATATTGTTTGTATAGCAAGTAGCAGTAAAGAAAAGAACCTACGATAAATAGAAGGGCTTTCAGAAGAAAATCACAAAACCACATTGAGGACTTTAAAGATGACACAGCGATTAGAGAAAGAACACATCGGAGCTGTCCGTTCTCCCAGAATCACCCACAGAGTCAGTGTAATTGCAGCAAAAGTTCCAATAAGCGGGCTCTAAGGTGTGTGGTCAAGGGCTCTTTATTTATAAGACACCACAGCTGGAAGGCTTTCCGCGGCCCTCGTCAAGCTTGCAGACACCAGGAGCGCGGGTGGGTGTCGCAAGGACAGAGCGGCCAGGAGAGAGTGCGGAGCCCCGCGGGGGACACGTCCCGCCTGTGGAGGGGGCTGAGCGCTCAGCAGGGGCGACCCAGGACGTGGAGCGGCCAGAAGGGAAAGGGGACGCTTACCTCGCCTCATATACTAAAAATCGGTCCACACAAGTATAAAACCCACTTCATTTCATTTAAATCTTAAATGTGTAAAGGAAAACTAGAATTTTAAAAGAAAATGGGAAGAATATTAAAATGACCTTAGAGTAGGGGTGTACTTTTTTTTTTTTTTT